GAGATCCTATTCAAAACCACATTGCTCTCAACATGAAGTCCAAACCCATCCTCAAGGCACTAATCTGACCATAAAACCATTCCAGTCTTATTTTGACTGCTCTCTGCCCACCCTGGATTCTCTAAAATTCAGCTGAGCAGGCTCTTTAACACTCTCTGCCGAAGACCTGAACCTTGCAAAGCTCCATTTGTATGTAGGCTGCTCCTTCCATCTAGAATAATCACATTCTCTCCTTCTTTCCTTGTAATGTCAAATGCCATCCGCTCCCCCTACTCCCACCACACACACACACACACACACACGCACATCTAGACCATAACTGATTGCTTCTCTGCATCCCCTCTTAGAAGTTTGTTATTCTGTCTAGTAAGAAGGTTGCTGCATTGGTGTCCCTGTGCCTCTATCCTGGGCTGCAAGTTCTGAGAGCAGAGACATTGCTCTTAACACTATTTTGTATCTGCTCATCTACAGCATTTATCAAATTCCCAAAATACTCCTGAAGGCAGAAGGCTCAGGGGATCCCTGAAATGCCCCTAGTGTTGTGGCATCTTCTATAGGATCTGTGAGTGCCCATCTATATCTGTCTTAGCCTTAAACAAACCCACATGTGCATTACACTGCTGTTTTCCAGTGCTTAGAAGAATACAAGACACAGTGCATGGTTCAATCACTACACTTCTTTTCAGAGAACTAGGGGTGCTCTTGAGCAGGAAGTACTCCCTTTCAGAATACTTTTCAAAAACCAAACCCAGTGACAGTATGTCACCCTGTGCACAAGAAAATGAGATTGAATCTAAATTAAGAATATGCACACAGAATGGGGCTCTGAAATTAAACTTGGAAACAGTGGATCATCTAAAAGAGCTGTGTTATCCTTTCTACACCCACATGGAGCTCACGGAGTTCCAGTATTTGGTAATTGACTAGCAAATAGTAAAATACATTTTTATTTAAGGCATATTTGTTGTTCCTCTTGTTACTATCCGATCTTTTTAATGTCCTAGCCCTCAAAGAAAAGTACTTTGAGAGGGGAAAAAAGTGGTGGTGGGAGGAATAATAATAATATGACCTGTTATCCAAAAGGAACACAAAAGCACAGATCACTTCCCAAAATGTCCAAGATTTCAGAACATAACTTCAAACTTGCCCTTAAAAGAAGCAATAGAAAGGGGGAAAACTGGCCAGCTTTCCAAATCTTGCTGAATCCAACTGGGCTGGGTGACCACTGAGATCAAAGGCGTGCAGTGATTGGACAAAGGGCCGGGAGGAACTGGCATCTTCCAGGCTGCTGGAAATTTGCCAGCTCAATTGCACCAAGCAAAAGCAAACTGCATTGTAATAAGTTGCATATAGAGATACTTGTCACAAAATGCAAAGCTTATGTGTTCCCAAAGGAAAAACTCCAGGTCTTCAACAGAATACAAAATTCGAAATGTCCCCTTTTCCAACCTAGAGTCTGAACCTTTGGCTTCTACTGAGGGGGAATGTATATATGATCTCTTTGTCCCGGTGTCCCCCATCCTTCTTGATCCTCTTCACTTTGAATTTATGCCCTCTGCCCCCCTGCCGCCCCTTAAATTTGGGAGGATTCTCTCTATAAGTTCCGAGCTCTGTTATTTGTGATGCTTTTGGGCGCCTCAGTTCTCCAGAGAAGTGACTTCCCAGTATTCTGTCATTCTATCCTGGGATGAAGGCACTGGTAAGACCATTTCCCTGGCTTTGGGAACAGGATCCACACTACAGCTATTTTTACCACTAATTCTTATCTTTCTCTATATTCCTCTTACCACTTGCAAGTTACAGTGAAAGAGATTCACGTGTGGTTCCACTCCCCATTCCCAAACACTTCCCCAAACCCACCCTATCCCAGTAGTGCAGAATTGGTATAAGATTACAGATGAAACTTTTTTCTGTAGGTCCACATGATTACAGAGAGAGGGTATCAGAATTGGGGGTTTGAATAGGGAAAACTTTAAAAATGAATGCCTAAATAAGGATACAAAAAGGGGAAAGCAAAGGAGGATGTTCTTTTCTAACTTAGTGCTTTTTACAAAATGGATTATGTTCGCATAAAGGAACCATAGAGTAAAACACAACAGCATTGAAGGATTTTTCTTTTACCAAATTGTCTCCGGTCCCTTAATGGTGTTTCAGCCTTGCTGAGTACTTTGTTTACGGTCCCTAGTGCGGCAATTTGCATCCTCCTCTCCGGGTTGCCGTTGGCTGGGGCTGGCAGCTGTCTCAGTCCGATTCTGGCTGAGAAAGGTAAGGATTTTTCCTTGCTCTTTGAAAATTCTGGGGAAGATATAGTGGATGTTTATGGGGAGAATGGAGGGGCGTACTGATATAATTCGTGCATTGGAGGCTTTCAGGAAAGTTCTGTAAACTTAAAGGACTCTCTTAAAGCCATGTGTTTTAAAAAGAGCCAGGGAGATTTTCTCTCCCTTGTGAAAGAAGAGGGCTTGCAGAAAGAAGGCTGGTTGCCTTGTGGATGAAATTTTTGCTTGTGGGGGCAGGTGTTCCTGAAGGGATTTTCCCAGGGGTGTTAAATATCATGGAGGCACGAATGGACATTCAAAGGCATCACACATGGGACACTAAGAATTCTCTTTGAATTTCAACTCCAAGCAGTAATAAAGTTAGTAAAAGCTGCATGTGTCCGCGGTTACAGTGGTAGGTATCTATTTTCCTGATATCTTTTTCCAGTTAATCCGAAAGCTTTCTACTTCTTTGGAGTTACCAGTGCTTGAGTCTGGAGATGTGTATCATCTGCCCATCTAGGCAAGATGCACAAATGCTGTGTGGGAGAATTGGGATGGATGAGACACCTGGAGTCTGAGAAGGCTAAAGCTCTGGTATTGCAAGTAACCCTGAACCTGTCTGCACTCCCAGGGCACAGCTCTACTCACTGTCCTTCGGGGTGGACCCAACCCAAGGCTCACCATTATAAAGGGTGCATCCGATCCCTCTAGAAGTTCATTTGGCTTTCATAACAGGATAAGGTGATGCTTAGAGCCTCCTTGGGGTTATTGAACTATATATATATTTTTTGTGGAGAAAATGATCTGTGCTAGGAAGTAGGGAGAAATTGCTCCCAAAGGGGGCTGTTTCAATACTACCTGATGAATCTCCAGTTGCTGCAACCTGCCCAACCCCTCCTCCACCCCCACTGTCATCATCTTCCCAAGGCACCTTGGCAAGTTCTGAAATGCCCTGGTTCTAAGTGTCTCTGATCTTCAACAACCAGGGACAGCACTCAGCACTCCTTGTTCATGATGGCTCTGTTTCTGTAGGTTCCACATTTTAAAACTGTGAGGATGGTAGCAGTTGAGGCCTCCAAGTGACCTCCAGGTACCTGCCATCCTCAGTGTGCTTGGTTCCTCCAACTCAGCCAGGTCTCCAGGACTTTTCAGCTTTATCTTTTGAAATGAAGAAGCCCTCTCTCTGGCTTCCATCCTAGAAAAAAGAACTGGTCCCTCTCTCTTATTACATGGGGCTAGAAAGAATAGGGTGGCATGTTTGGGAAGATCCAAGCCCTAAGCCAGTGGCTAGAGAACCCTGCTGATCCCACAGAAAGAAGGAAAATAAAACTCTTCCAAGAGTTAATGAGGATGTGAGATTCTCTGTATTAGTTACAAGGAGTTAGTAATACTTGCACGTATTTTTTTTAAAAATGAAGGATGGATAACTTTTAGCCACAGATGTATAGGGACAAGCTTATAATAGTCTCGCAGTATTATCTCCATTTTCCCTCAAGAGATGATCTGGTCTCTTATGTAGTTCAAGTATTTTAGAATTTCAAAAAGTTTGTCTGTATGAAAGCATAAACCTACCAGGCCATTGATGGTTTTGGGAAATAGACTTTTAAGTTTAACATTTGAGAGTATGACACGTCAAGTCATACTTGTTTCAAATATTTAAAATATTTTACTCCTTAAAATTGACCAATGAACAGCAGCCTTGGCATAGGTGGGCAGCTTGTTACAGACCCACTGGATCAGAATTACATTTAACAAGCTTCCTGGATGATAGATAGATCTTTTAATAAATGGAATCCAAACCAAGGGTTTTTTTTTTTTCTCTTGTGTGACATTTGTCAGATTATTTCACATCTCTGAGTCTCCATTACCTTATTTATAAACTAAGAAGAATTAACATTAATATGTGACATTCCTTAATGTTGTGCTATGCCCATAGTAGGTGCTCTGTAAACAGGCAGTGATACTGATAATTCCAGCATTGCCAAACTCACTTGCTTCCTAGCACAAGAAGTAAGCAATCCTGTTTAAATCACTACTGGTTTTCCCCCTTACCCACAGTTTTTCCCACCCTCCTTCCTGAATGAATTAGCATTCAGCGGAGGAGTGTGGGGTGGTGGGGAGTATGGAGAGGATGTGTGGAGGGTGAAGTTTCAGATGACCATCACACATGTAAGTAAAACATACTGGAGGACCTAAGAACATGAATTTTTGCTGCTTTAGAATTCAGCTGCCTAATGACTCCACAGCTGTTCAGCCCCTCTAGAGTGTCTGTCCCCTCAGCTGGGTCTGCAAAGCCGATTCTGGGATTTTCTTATGAAAATGCCTGATGGGCGGGAAAGAGATTTGGAGGTTGGTTGGGGAAAAAATGAGTAATTCAAAGCAGACTGCTTAGTAAATGCTGCAAGAGAAATAGAAGTAAACGCTGGCTCCTGTCTCTGGGAATTCTGTAGAAATGATCCTGACTTATCAAGTCACTGAGCAGACTTGAGAAAAGCCAAAACTTGGAATCTGCTAGCAAGGAAAAGAAAGAAGAAAAAAAAAGTGATAGGGAGGGGCAAAGTGAAGGGGGAGGGAATAAAAAGAGAGAGGGAGGGAAAGACAAGCGTCTTTTAGGAGCAGAAGTAGCCTGAAAGAAGAGCTTCGGGACTCAAAACCAAACTGCATCAAATATTTTTATAACTTTTCTTTTCCCTAGAGGAGATCCTTGATCTGTCATTTCATTGACAGCCATCAGTGAAGGTATTTTCCCCAGAAGGTGAATGAAGACACTCAACCTTGGCTGATTCCTCTCTCCCAAGTCGTTTCCATGGTAATGGATACACACATACTCTCTCTCTCTCTCTCTCTCTCTTTCTCTGTGTGTGTGTGTGTCTGTCTGTCTTTCTCTCTTTGAGGTTTGGGGACAGGATGTTGTTTATTAGGTTAGCACAATCTCAGTTTGAGAAGAATACTTTTAATTTTTTTTTTCAGATAAAATGTCAAATATCCTTTAAATGGGTAGGCCAGTGTTTATTTAGGGTGACATTAAACAGCAGCAATTAATTTGTTTGATGATTAAAACTTACATGCAATTAGTCAGCTCCAATAGTTAGTGTCGTTGCTCACTAACTATTCTGACCTTCCTGGGCTGGGAAGAATGAATGGTGAAGTTTGACTTGGGTTGCATTTCTTTTCAATTGATGCTTAATATATCCAAAGGATTAACCTCATAAAAATGATCTCAAGTGTCTTCCTGTAAATTCTTTCAGTCATGGCGACTGTTCTGCCTCTAGAGGACACGAGACAGTGACTTAACTGTCTTGAACAGCACACAGGACTTTCCACTGACTTCTCATAAAAGCATTTCAGCCACAGCTTTTGATCAGGGTATTGAGATTTGTCCTAAAATGTTCAGGTTCAAAATATTTAGAAAGGGACAAGTTTTGTACACAAGGATATGGTCGGGGGGGAAGGCAAATGCATCTGTCAAATTTTATTGAATATCTAGCATGCTTATTTTTTTTTTGTCTTTTCTTTTTTGGTGCTGGGATCGAACCCAGGGCCTCATGCATGCTAGGCAAGAGCTGTATCACCAAGCTGCATCCCAGCCCTAGCATGCTTATTTAATTATGTCATACATAATATACATGATATCAAAATTTCTTGTTGATTTTAATAGAAAATTTTCAAGCTGACAGCCAATTACTCTAATAGTCAATTTAGTCTTTAACTTAAGAAAGCATAAAATTATTTCACACGAATTGCTGCTTTTTTTCCTTAGTTTTTTTTTTTTTTCAAATGGATAAGGGGCTATTGCCACACCTCTCATCACAAACTGTAACCTCATGGTCACTGAACTTTTTGCTGACCTGCCCATCTACCATGGGGGGAATAAAAAGGTCCTGGAACCCATAGTTCCACAGTAAAGCTTCATCGGCAGACAGTTGATGGAGAAGAACACCATTTGCATGCTGGTCCTGACATCGATTTCCTGAGCAGTACATGGGTGATAGCTTGGAAAGAATGCTTGTTATGCCTGGCAAACAAGCCAGTTGAAGCTGAAGTTGCTAGGAGTTGTGGAACTCACTGTTTACAGCATATTCTCCTCTTGAATTAGGCCATCTTTGGATTAGGATTTGGGCTTTCTGTGTTTAGAGAAAAGGAAAGCAATAGGCAAAGCAGAAAAGCTTACAAAAAACATTTGTAGACCGCCAAGGAATATTAAACACTGTGAAGTGCTTCCTGCTTTTTCTGCCTTCCCTTTCTTTATGTTTATCTGCTTTTTGCCCAATGCCAAGAGAATGGAACCAATCCTAAAAAATCAAAAGTTGATTTCCACATGTTCTCAAGTCTCATGGGAAGGGGGTAGGCAGCTCTCTGTTTCCATTTGCAGGGCTTATTCTGGTGCCTCTGGCTGATGTCTCCTGTCTTCTCCACAGCTTCCACTCTGGTGAGGCTCTCCAGATCTAGTCTGCAAAGTCAGCTAGGAAGCACCACTGTAAAAATGACTGAAGAGCTTGTAAAGGAGATGCCAGGAGCCCCCAAATCATCCATGCCTGGGACAATGGAGAAAAACCCCAAGAGTGAAGTCATAGTCACCACGGTCCCCCTGGTCAGTGAGGTCCAGCTGATGGCTGCCACAGGGGGTACAGAGCTTTCCTGCTACCGCTGCATCATCCCATTTGCTGTGGTGGTCTTCATCGCTGGGATCGTGGTCACTGCAGTGGCTTACAGCTTCAATTCCCATGGCTCCATTATCTCTATCTTTGGCCTGGTCCTTCTGTCATCTGCACTTTTTTTATTAGCCTCCAGTGCCTTGTGTTGGAAGGTGAGACAGAGGAGCAAGAAAGCCAAGAGACGGGAGAGTCAGACAGTTCTCGTGGCAAATCAGAGAAGCTTGTTTGCTTAAGACTGAAACGAGACCAAATGGGATATGTTGCCTGAAGAACCTGTTCTAACTTGGTCAGCCAATTCATCCAGAACCAATGTGGGAGGGAATGGGCTTGGCTTGGAGAAGACTAGAAAAATGGGAGTAGGTTGAAGGTGGGGGGGTCAAAGGGGTCCTCCTTTGTGACAAATGACCTTTTTAAATATTTTCTTTGTGAATGTCTTCTATAATGACAAACTTAATCCTAAGTGCTAATTCAAAGACAGAGCTTTCACTTTAAGTTAATCATTGCAGGGTGTGTGGGGGTGCCCAGTCTTAGACGTTTGGTTCACCTTGGGCAGTAGCCAAGAAATGAGAAAATAGTAAGATAGTGACATTGAGCCCCCTCCCCCAAATAAACCACATTGTTTGAGAAGTTGTTATAAAAACATTCTGCGGAAGGTCTGCATTGCCTTGGAATTTGCATATGTCTAGAAAATTCTGTGGTAGTTTTTACCTTTTTTTTTTCAGTAAGTTGTTTCTCTGGCATCCATTTTTATTTTTCACTTTCAGTAACTCATCACTGGTGGTACTTTATCTTGAAAAATAAACTAACTTTAAAAAATATTTTTAACATTGGACAGTTTTAGGGGATTGTAATGAAGTATCAGAAGTAAAAATAAAAGCTGCAGGTAATAGATGATGGGGGTTAAATTAATATTAAAATAATCCAATATAGCACTTTTGATGGTTTTTATATAAAAATTTAATGTACATTTCACTCGAAATAATAAATACTTATTGCTGCTGAATCTTCTTAAATGGTTGTTTCTGTTGAAGTTATTTTTACTTCAGTCCCAGATTTTTCATCTTCCCCTCTCTCATTTGCCAGGTATTGATTGTATTTCTCTCAAAGGGACATGTTGCATCTTAACTTTACTGGAGGATTTTTATTTTCATATTTTACTTCTAAAGAATACTATTACTTATGTTAATTCTATTCTAAAGGATTCCTATACCATTATAATTAGAAAAACAATGCTTAATTTTCTATTAAGTGTACATTCCCTTTTTGTTTCATTAGTTCTTAGTTATTTAATTAACGCATCTTTCTGGGACCATCTATACGCCAGACTGCTTGCTCAGTTAGATGTGATGCTATGCAAATTAAGGTCACTGGAAACATCTGAGTGATCTTGGAGGTTAGATGGTAGCAGGTGCAGATCAATGTCCTTCCCCACCAGCTGCAAGTGAGTGGAACTGTGCTCATTTCAGTGTCAATGAGGCTGTGATTTGATGCACCCCTTTTCTGCAGAAAGAGGCAAATTCTTTGTGAGAAAATTTCTCAGGCAAGATTCAGGGTTCTCCAGTTTGCTCCAAACAGATATGTAGGCTTTCACTCTCACTCTTACTCCCAGAGTTCCTTCTGAGTTAGCAGTCTACACTTGTCACCGTACTATATCAGCTCTGCTTTTTCTCCATTGTGACAATGGTGTCATCCTTTCCTCCATCTCGGTCTACCCAAATCCTGCTTCTTTTCAGCACTCCAGCTCCAATGCCACCTCCTCTTGGAAGCCTTCCCTTGTGTATGAAAGTAAGTGCTCTTCTGTCAGTCATTATTCATTCTCTAATGGCACTCATCCATTCCTTCATGTCGGTGGTATAAATTTTTTACCCCCTTCCAATGCTCCTTAGAAGTGTGTGGTGTATGCTTTAACTCTAGTATGATACCTAATATAATGTCTTGCACAAGTAAGAAACTCAACAAGTAACTAATTGGCATGCTGAGTGAATGCAAGGATGAAAAATCAGACAGTGAGGTGTTTTAACCAGAATTATAGTCCATTCTTATTTCTTAAAAGAAAATAGTTTTCTTCTCAACTTTCTCTAAAATAGGTCATTCTATTGCCCCTTCTCCTGTGCACCACGTCTAGGTGAGTATGAACCACCTTTGTATTTCTTTAATCTATTCAAGCTCTTACAAATGCTGGGAAAGCAAATTTGTGAATTATATCCAGCCACCAGGGGGCCTCATGCTGCTACCTGAGTCCCCAAAGAAATCCTATGGAAAGATTTAAATTATAATGTCTAAAATGGTATTATTTCTGGAGACAGCAATATCTCTCCTAGCTGTGAAGAGTTTGAGGAGATCCTCCAACTGGCCACCTCTACACACTTCCCTGTATCACATCCCAATGGCTCTTGCTGGGGTTCTTGTAGTACAAAAAGGACTTGTTCTGTTAGGGGAATCTCCATTCATATTAAAAGGTGTGCACCCCTGCAAAGTTGCAAGGCATAGAGACAGTCCTACACATTGGGAATTGCAACTCCCATGAGGAAAATAAACCAGATTAGAGTTATAATCGCAGTTACCATAATTATCTCATGTCTTTATTCAGTTTAAGTCTACTTTACAAATGGATCTTTTACACACAGACAAGTAGGTGTTAAATATGTACATTACATTATACAAGGATAATGTAAAGGTCATCTGGCCCCATCCAGGTCAGGGTTCCCCTTAGTTCCCCCACACATCCCACCATGCACAGGAACAATTTTTAACCTTATCCTGCACAACAGGTTTATGCCAAGTGAGAACCACAGCTGTCTGGAAACTCCTGCTCTTCCCACCTTGCTGTCTTGATGGCTCTAGGAAATCTTGTCTGGAGAATGTGCCCAAGGAGGGATATCCTGGTATCTTAGGAAGTATTATGGTTTTGAACTTGGAAGATCTGGTTATGAATACTAACTCCCTTGTTAAATTAGCCAGATGATCTTGACAAATTAGGCTTCATCTTTAAAATAGGGTTAGTTAAAAGAAATGATTTTAACTTTGTAAATTATAAAGTACTACAAAGTCACAACACTGCTATTTATAATAGTATTTGATATTGACTTCAGCTTCTTTCTCCAGTTAATTCCCCCTACGTGTAGTTAAGTATCAGATCTCTGTTTTGACTAAATTGCTTTAATATTTCACCTTGACATTATCTACGGCCTTTTGAGGACCAAAGTAATCTGGGGAAAGCACCTGCTCTAAAAATGAATAATAACTTACACTTCTTAATATTGTCATAATTTTTAGTCATCATAAAGGCATATTTAATCAGTAAATTCAACCATGAATCCCCAAAAAAGAGATGTCAGGTGAGAGATAAGTGTCTACCTTTGGTTCCCCTCTACCACCACCACCACTGACCTGACATTCAAGCCAATCTTGTCCTTGGCTGCCCTGCAGAAAGGAAGAACATGGTAGAAATCTACAGAGAAATGAAAAATGTACATTCTTGATTCCTGTCTTCTGAGCTTCTATGGGCCTGAATCCCAGTTTTAAGATCCATCTGAGGAGTTTTCATGGGTCATTTGGTCACACTTGATTTTTGCATTATTTCCTGACTCTGGTCTTGATCTTGTGGATGACAGGACTCAACCATACCTGATACAGTCAATATACCCCACTCTGCCATGGGACTAGGAGAGTAAATTATCTGCTCCGCTTTGCAGTTGAGGAATCTGCCACACCATGAGGACACTTGGACAGTTATGGAAAGGCCTGCATGGGGAGGAACTGAGGCCTCCAGCCAATAACCAGAGAACTGAGGCCTGCCAGCGACTACCCCCATGGAGTCTTCCAGTGACTGTATTCCTGCTGACAGCCTGACTGAAACCTCATGAAAGACTTCTCTACCAGCCAGAACTACACAATCAGGGCTGCGTTGTGTCCATAATGGGACCTAGATACTTTTGTCCTTATTAGCCCTTTATTCCATAAAGAAAAAAAAAAAAAGAATGAATCTTACTTGTTGTAAGAAGGACATTGTACTGACAAACACTGTGGCCCTCAGCACTGAGCTTACAGCCCTTAATGGATAATTTGGCCCTGCAACCAGTTGAGTTGCTCCCAGACTACTGACCCACAGAAACTATGAGATAATAAATGATTGTTGTCTTAAGTTGCAAAGTTTGGAGGCAATTTTTTATGCACGAACAGGTCACTAACATTGCACTATTATGAATTTTCCTCTACATGGTTTTATGTACATGTGTACATGTTCCTGTTGAGTATAGACTTAGGCATGAAATTCCTAGATGAAAGGTAGGTATGCGTTTCACTTTACTGCCATACAGTTGTCAAAACTGGTTGAATCAATCTACTCTCCTGCTATCGCTGTGAGAGAGATTGGATGCACTGTATCTTCATTGGCATTTCCATTGCAGTCTTCCTATCTTTCCTATCTTTCCTATCTTTTCCTATCTTTTCCATTGCAGTCATTCCAGTCAGTGTAACATCTGCTTTTAAAGTATCTATTTGGGAAAGAGGATATGATGCTAGAATTTCGTCTGCAAATGGGCAAAGCCTCAAGTTCAGAGAAGGGTTTAGAATAGAAAACTCACATTTAGTTTGGACTTTGAAGAAGCAAAGCAGAAAGAAATAAAATCTCAGGTAAGTTCTCTGGAAACCAGGAAAACAGACTAGAGACTGGGAATTTAATTCAAGATCCTAACAGATGCATTTATCAAGCTTTCACTAAGCACCACATATCAGGCTGAGCTTCACATGGAATATCTAATTTGGTCTTCACAACAACCCAATGAAGTAGATACCATTATTATCTTCATTTTATAGCTAAGGAAACTGAGTCACCAATTAAGCCAACTAATTGACACCACACCACTAGTAAACAGTAACCTGAGTTGGAAATCTAGAACTCACTCACTTACCCATTAGAGGTATCCTGCCTGGCCCACACTAAATTTCAGAGGCCTGATTTTGGAATCAATGTCTAAAGTAGAAGATGAGCAACACAGGGTGAGGAGTCTGAGTTAAAGAGTGAGGTCAGTGATAGTCCCAAAAGTCCCAGGTGGAGCTAATCACTGAATTACCTGCCATCTTCAGGTGGGCCTTCTTAGGCCACCTCCATACATTTGCAGCATTTTTACAAATATCAAAACACTCTCTCCTATGAATGAACATGGGACTGACTCAGAATCCTAGCCACATCTTCTGCCACCATGTGCTTTCATTGTCAGCCTCTTTGAGTTTCTTGTGTGGGAAACAAGATCAGAATATGAGCCCACCTCAGTCTGTCAGTAGAGGCAACTGAAAGGAACTGCATAGCAGAAATATTGAACACACTTTGCAGGAAGGCTTCCTGTACATGGTGAGTTGTTTAGAGTAGAATAGGTAGAGGAGTTATCCAGGTGAGGGGCATTAGCAATTAAAAATGCTCCTAGAGAGGATACCATGAGGGAATAGTGAAAGGCCATAGAAAGACCTAGTCTTCAACCTTTCCACCTCACAGTGCAATTATAAGATAAGCTTGTTAAAGGAACTTATCAATTGCACAATTCTGATCAAGTAAAGGAGATAAACAAATCCAATATCCATAGAGCTCAAACTTAAAACCAGAGAATCACATGTTCAGGTTTAAATTAAACACAAACACTTCAATCTGTAGGCATTTGGGGATCATTAATAAAAAAACATTGTCCTAACAAAACTCTCATC